ATAATAACAATAATATACACTTCCTGTAATTTTATAATCGTAGTTCTAAGATTCCTTCGATGCAAAACCGGCATTTTTCATCATTTTTTTGCGTTTTTTATTTTTCACAGTTTGGATTTTGAACTGAAAAATCTGAAAGAATTCTGGAATATGTGCCTCACTAACTGGAATATCTCTGACTTTTTTCAAAATTTTTCATGCAGCAGGACAAGAGAAATTGGTCAAAATTGTGATTTTTGTTTTTTCTTGTTTACTCCCCCACCCGTCGAGATAGGAACTTGAAACTTGGCACAGATTAGTCTTTTTTGATAACCTATCGAATACATCATCGCGAATCGAAATCGGTCTAAGGGCACTTTTGACCCCCAAACCCGGCTATACCCTTTCCATATATGGGAATCACTGACGTATCCCCACCAATATCTAGGGATATATAAACCCATGATTTTTGTTACTCGGGGGATTAAAACGAAAGAGTTACACGTAGAGTCACGTAGAGTAGCATCACGTTGGTCATCTGCAGAGAGTGCTTCAGTGAGATCGGGCTTCAGATCCCTTTTGTATCACAATCAACCATATAGATCCGCGTAGCCGGTTTAAATTTTATTTTGGCAATAGAAGCATTCTCGACCCCCACATCGCCAGTGCGTTAACACCGTGCAACAATTAGGTAATTAAATTCATACACTAACCGCGACAACACGACACTGTACAATTGTACTATTAGAATTATTCAGTTTTGAATATATAATCATTTTTTAACCTTAAAAGGTCTGTTAAATTAAAACCTTCACCATTGGAATAAGCAATCCTAACCAGTATAACGATCCCACAACATAATAACTTTACCGCTCGAGTTATTATTTGTTTAGAATTAATAGTTGCGAGGCTTTATCCACGATGCGTATTATATTCCAACGATACGATTCAATCCTTACCTAACCTTCCCAACGGTTACCCTTTACCGGGAGATACCAATTCCCAGCAGCTATCTGACTTCGCGTCGGAGTCGTCTGCGATTTCTACTCCATCCTTAATCTTTGAACTCATTGAAATAAACAGGACTAATCGTATCTTCTTCGATTCTTGAATTCAACCCACTCGCAGGGCTCACACACGCGTCGCTATCGCCCTGGCTCGTAACAGAGATATCGTAATATCATGTCATGAATCTGCCAGAAACGGTATTTTTCGTATGATTTTCCCGTCGTCAACCCTTAGCCAATAGGAGCTAAGCAAAAGCCGAGCGACGTTCGTCGACTCTCGGAATCATTCGGTTCGAAATGACTCGTCGGCCATCGAGGGTCGAGAGTCGAAACAAATGGTCATCATTCATAACCTGCCAAGAGTCAAAAGTTTTTACACTTTTGCATTATTAATTATATTTATATCAGCAAAATGTTTTCAATTTAGACTTTTTATGTAGGGTTTAATAACAAATTGCAGCCAGTGTTGTAAAGTGTTGATCGATCTTGATTACAAGGTAAGTTGTCAAAATCTGAATTGCCAGATACCTTTATTCATACAGAAAACTGTTTTTAATATAGATCCATACCACCAAAATGTTTTGAATTTAGACTTTTTATGTAGAACTTATACAAATGAAGAGAACCACAGGCTTGGAGGTTATTCGTTAACAAATTGCAGCAATTGTTGTAAAATGTTTATCCATTTTCATTACAAGGTAAGTTATCAAAATCTGAATTGTCAGGTACCTTCATTCATACAGAATAGATCCATACCACTAAAGTGTTTTTAATTTAGACTTTTTATGTAGAGCTTATAGAAATGGAGTCACTTTCTCATTTCATCATTAACATTAAAATTTCTTGTAGCAAGAAAAGAAAATGCAGATATATATAATTATTTATAAATTGAACGAATAAATGTTTATAATTAATAAATTATATGAAATATATATATATGTTACGTCCCAACTAGTTTGGGACTTCCTTTAGGGATTCTTGTCTTCGATTAAAGAGCTAAAGCTCACCTTATCTGTATTTAATTGGAAAAGAAGGAATTTTGGGATTCTATAATAATTGTCACTAAGTTTGAGTATTAACAAATATAATTATGAAACAAAACTGAGTTTGGGATTACTTACAAACAAGAATAAAAATTATACAATTGAAAATGGTTTAACAATACCAATCGTTGATGGTATTGGCTGTGGCGAGGATCTGGTCTGGTTGTACACTCGCGACACGGAACTCTAATAATTGGCGAATAATAAACGTCGGACTTTCGTAGGTAACTCCGCGATGACTCTATCTTTAGTGCGTATGTTCTCACTTACGCGAACTCTTTACTTTGCTGGAGATACGATACACGATACCTAAATGAGACTAACGCGAGAGATTAACCTGTCCGCGACTACAGAATACACAAAAGAAAAGCCGCCCGTGGTCGTGACCACGGGTTTATATACCCCCTAGATCCTCGCAAGGCGCGATCGTAATTTCGAAATCTTAATTTCTACATTTCCGAATCTGGGACATGTCGCAAGTTCGATGGCCGATTCGTATGCAACGGCCTAACATCGCTGACGCCCGTTTGCTGACTCGCGGTTTGCATTATTTCGTTCCCGAGGAACGATTTTCGCATCGTTTACCGAGCGCATTCCTTAAAGTCTATTGATCTTAACTTATTCGCAATGCGAGGTCGATGAAAAGGGACACCGGCAGGGCCGGATGTAACATATATATTATAAATTATAATATAATTATTATAAATTGTAAATATAAATATTTATATGTATTATTTATATATATATATATATATATATATATATTATAATCTTTTGTAAACACAATACAATATAATACATATATTGTAATCTTTTGTAATTATAGTCTTTTGTAAACACCCCATTGTATTTTATACACATACATCATTTACACTGTATTTATCAAATGTAACAAATTAAATGCTGAAAAACTGTTGAATGAAAACCAAAAGTAAAGATATGAGTAAGTAAAAAATTTATCTTCTATTAAATTCTGTACAGTAATTTGACTATCACTTATACAAATGTCCCTATCTGAAAAACGATTTTAATTAATAATCTAATATTTAAAAACTTGAACATCAGTGAAAATATGAATGAAGGTGAAACATACTATCTGTCATATTATCTACATTTATGTGTAATGCGTTCGTGCAAATATAACTGGGTCTGTTAATAGATGTCGATGAAATATCGCCTAAAAATACATTAAACATGAACCCAATAAAATTTACTAACTTTTTAATACATAATCTAAACATTAATAGGATAAACTTCGTGATCAGAAATTTACCCTCTATTGCTTCTTCCTTTTTCTCATTTTCTAAATATACACACGGCCCGTTTTCTGTACAGCTGCATATTATAAAAATGTCATTATCTGCAAAGAATAATGTACATAAATAATTAGTTGGTAAGCGTGGGAACAACAAAAAAAAGCAACTGAAAATCATGCTAATTTTAGTAGTATTTAACCTTGAGCACACTTGAAACAAGAGTAATGAAAAATGAACATATATAATAGAACGCACCTACTATTGAACTATATGTAGTTACTCCTTAACTTTCCATGCATACTGTTTGGAGTTCGGATTAAAAAATGTAAAATTTAAATTGGTTCTTCTTGTCTGAAGAAGATCTGTCGGGAAGGGCAGTTGGCGTAAACGAAATAATCGTAGCACTGAATGTTCGTTGTAACAAATGGAATTTAATGTTCGTAAATGTAACTTAAACTTAAATTTATACGAAACTAATTAATAAACAAAATAACAAAAATCACTGAATTATAGTCTTGGCTGATTAACTGATTCGGTTGAGAATAATTTTGGTACGCACAAACTCGCGTTACGGTAATCGCTTCTTAGAATTCGCACGTGGTACTCGCGTGGCGATTCGGAGAAGAAGAAGGAGAGGAATCGGAAACGAACATAGGTTGCCAAAAAACGGGAGCAGGTGGGAATGCGCGTGGTCCGTAAATCGATCAATTACGCAATGATCGATTGACGACACGGCAGGAGCGGATCTCTCTTTATGAGAGCCCCTTGCCACACATTCGGATATTCAAACATCCCGGCCCCCATTGAATGGTTACATTCAAATACACGCGCCCTCTTCAATTGGTGTAGAGGGAGCGCGTCGCGATGACGTGGCACGCGTGCATCCGAGTGAAGTGTGGTTAGATCGACAATCGTAATGTTCATGTGCGTGATTTGCTCAACGATAAGTTCTTATTCTAAACGCGTTACAATTACTTAACTAAATCTAATGGATTACAACGACGTTGGCTTCCTTATTATTTACAGATATTTACAAATTTTACAAGTCCAGTTGTACTGCGTACGGAAATATGGCAGCTCGCGGAGTTACGACGTCTGACCTTAACAGTTGCCTTGGTCATGGGACGTAGTATCGCCTTCTTCGGTCTTGTCGTTGATCGGAATCGGCAAAAAACATATCTTCGTGATCGGTCTAGTGTACTCAGGGCGTGCCGTTTTGACCTTGACCACGCGGACGAGCCCATCGTCCCCAGGATGGCAAGCGGTGATACGGCCGAATTCCCACATGCTGGGGGAAAGGTTGGCGTTGCGAAGGAGCACAATTTGGCCTACTCTGGTAAGATTTTGAACGGTACGCCATTTTGGCCTTTGGTGTAGAGTGTGAAGGTAATCATTGGACCATGCCTCCCAAAATGTTTCAGAAAGACGCTGAACCATCTGCCAGCGAGACAGTCTTTCCTCTCTAAGGTTAAGTACACTTGGTTCCAGTGGAGTCGCAAGGTTTGTCCCGATGAGGAAGTGGGCTGGTGTCAACACTTCGAAGTCATCGATACTGTTTGACATAGCAGCGAGGGGGCGTGAGTTTAAGTACGCCTCAATGCGACAGAGAAGCGTTCCCATCTCTTCTTGGGTAAGTGTATGTGTATACAGCGTTTAAGGTGCGTTTTGACGCTTTTAATCGCTGCCTCCCATAGTCCCCCAAAATGTGGAGCAGCTGGGGGTATAAACTTCCATTTCACTCCATCAACGGCGATTCGATTAGCGAAATTTGGGTCGTCGACTGCTGCTCGGAACGCCTGGTCGAGTTCCTTGTTTGCTCCTTGAAAGGTGGTGCCATTATCGGAGTAAAGGAACGTCGGCATTCCTCGTCGGGCTACAAAACTGTGGAATGCGGCAACGAATGCGGCGGAGGAATAATCATTCACCAATTCGAGGTGAATCGCCTTGGTAGTTAAACAAATAATCAATGCGATATAAGCCTTTCGAGCCTTGTAACCTCGGCCAGCGGTTGGGCGTACGAGAATCGGACCCGCATAGTCTACACCGGCATCTAGGAATGCCCTTTTAACCTCTGTAACTCTTGCAGCTGGGAAGTTTCCCATGAGTTCCTTGGGGGCTTCTGCCCTCTCGCGAGTACATGGCACACAATTGTACAACACGGCGCGAATAGTGGCTCTGGCTCTGAGTATCCAGAACTCGGTTCTCAGTTTGGCAAGAGTTAATAATGGTCCAGCGTGCAAATTTTGCAAGTGAGTATTCATTATTATTACTCTAGATAATGGGTGGGAGCGCAAAATTATGGGAGTTTTTGCCTTTTCAGCTAATGGCGAGTTCATCAGACGACGTCGAGCTCGAATAAGTCCTTCAGAGTCAAGGAATGGTACCAATGCACTGATTGGGCTTGGCTTAGGAATCGGTGTGGAGGCCTTAAGAAGTTGGAGTTCATGGGGAAATGATTCAGCTTGCATATATCGCAGGAAAAAGAGTTTCGCTCGCTCCACTTCACAAGGTCGCAAGGTCATGGAATTTGAAACGGTCGGTCGAGGTGAGTGCTTTTTAAAAGTTTTCGTATGGTTTTATCGAGAAAACGATATAAATATGCGGCAACTTTTTGCAATTTTGGCCACGAGGAAAACCGCGTCATTAGTTGCCATGTTTCCTCGACTGCGAGTGCGCAATTTAATTCGCGAATTCTTTCTTCTGACGAATTATCAATGACGCCTTGAAACGAGGCCGGCCAAGAATCCGAGGAAGCAGACAACCATGACGGACCGTGCCACCACAAAATATGGTTGCTAAGTTGGGAGGGATAGAGACCGCGAGAAGCGCAATCTGCAGGATTGTCACGAGTTGGCACATAACGCCATGCAATGTCTGGTAGTAATTGCTGTACTTTCGCTACTCGATTGGCAACGAAGGTTTTCCAGCGGAATGGAGGCTGCGGCAACCACTGCAAGGTTATGCTTGAGTCGGTCCAGCAATAACAATCGATCGCGGAATAGCTTAAACACTACCGCATGTAGTATATATTTATATTCAAATTAGGAGCGGAATCCAAATGGATTAATGCATTCAATCAACGAACCGCCACGTACATTGTTAAAACATTCAACGTGGGTGATCAAGCGAGGGAAAGTCGAAAGTCAGGAGAGAAAAGGCAACGTTCGCTGAAAATACTTGAAAGATTCATTATAGACTATGTCGAATCGCCGTTTCCATTGGAATGCATTTCTTTAGAATTCGAGTCGAGTTAACTTTTGTTTCAGCTCGTAAGATCCTTGAAAATAACAGACTTGCGCTGTACCTCGGTTCGCCTTTCCGGCGATTTCTTCAAGAGGGTAATAAATTTCCTTAAGGGGATAGACACGGGTAATGCAGCGAGGTGACATTACCGGCAAAACTGGGCGTAAAAAGGGGTCCGTGATTTTTTGCTTTTCGTCCTTGTATTAGCATATTATAGGCTGAATGAGGGCTCAGAAAGGAAGCTTGAATACATTCGGGGCTTGTCATAATTCAACGAGATCTTGTTAATATCTAATAATATGAGTATCCAAAGTAGAGAAAGAATACGATAAAATACATCTGCAGAATCCAAGTATTTGTAAGTCACTATAAGAGTTTTGTGACTCACACGATGGTCAGCCCCGGATGTATTGAACCTTTCTCTTTCAAATGAGCCCTCATTCAGCCCAAAATATGCTACAATAAGGACGAAAAGCGAAAAATCGTAAGGCATTCCCAAAATCGAGTTCTGCCATTTTGTGGATAATGGTAGAGCACGTCACGTACCAAATTTAGTTCAGGAAATCGGTATGAAATGGCGGTTACTGAGGACGACTGCTAACGTGAATATCGATACATTGCGACGTTGTCATTCTGGCATAACAGCGTCTATCCTTTCCTCACGCTCCGCTGTTGCCATTTTACTGAAGTCGAAATATTCTTACTATTTGCCGACGTCGACAGAGCATAGGAACAGACAGCGAAAAAAGAGTAAAAGGAAACATTTACAAGCCTAGTATCATAACCAATTGTCATAACAATATCGTGTTTGGTCTCATTTTAATCAGGAAAATCTCACCAATATGTTAGTGAAGTTTGTATTAAAAAAAAATTAACAATACAAAAAGTTAGTTTGTCGCATTATTGTTTCACAGATTAGTAGGCATTTAAATTTTTTACGATCACTTCGACTCTCACAAGGAATGTTTTTTAGGTATCCGCCTCCAATTGTTTTGATTTTTGGTTATGTTTTAAAGGGGCGAAAAATAAAATATACGTATTTTTGTATTTTCGCCTGTTTCATATTTAGGAGGTGAAACGACCCCCTAAAGTTTCAGCTGCGATAGTCTATCTCCGAAACTATCATAAATAGAAGAAAACTTTTTAAGAAAAAGTTTCATGTTTTCTATCTGCATATAAAATCTAACCCTAACTTTTGTAAAAAAAATAAATTGTTTATAACATTATTTTAAAAGTAATTACAGTTTATATAACGACTAAGAAGAACATTTTTTCTGAATCTATTGATGTATCGTATACTGTGTTTGCCTCTTACATTTTTGCGCATTAATACACTACTCCCAACAATTAGCAGGACACTTTTTCAAACCGTCGTAACTATGGGAGTTTTCAACCGATTGAAATGAAACTGCGTGAGGAGTACTTTTGAAGTGTCCCCTAGGCGTGTGTAAAGTTGCATTGGCGATGGTTGAAAAACGGCTCTTTGAAACAGGCCAGGGATGACGGAAGAGGTTGAAAAATTCAAAAAAACCTTTGGGACGACTTTACTTGATGCCCTCTACAAAAAGCACCCCTTGAAATCCCTCTCGGACAAACCCACCCCCTCTAAAATCCACAATTTTTGGACGACGGACTCGATTTTGGGCTCAATGCTTTCTCTGGAACTTTCTCGCTCATAAATATGTGGACACGTACTACTTTCAATAAATAATTAATGTACATCGTAAATTATTACTATACATCTTTTGTTGCTAAATTCTATATTGGATGTATTTAACAACATTTGATTATATTAAATATTTCCACTGCCATGTTTAATTTTTTAGTGGAACTATG